GGGGGGGGTCGCTGGTGCACCGCGGGTCCTTTGGATCGCAAAGTGATCCCCCACCATGTCATGGGTGCTCCTTTCAGATCCGTCATCATTCCCATACTCACACGGACGAGTGCGTGAACTACTCTAAGGAGTCTGGCCTCCGCTGGTGCTGCTGCTCGCAGGTGTTCGGCCTCATCTGCAGCAAGGAGAAGTGACCCTTTATGGACCGCCCAAATTATAAAAACGCCCTGGTACGCGGTTTCATCTCTTGTCTGGACCCTTTGTTTTCTTTCTTTACAAGCTGCCACTATTTGGCGCTTTCGTGGGGTAGCAGCTAAAGGTTTGGCCCTGGTACTTGCATCTTCTGGCTCTAGGCCCTGGAGAATCGCTGAGAAGGATGCAAAACAAAAACACACGTTGATTTCTATAGGTAAAAACGGAACAAAGTCAGGGGTTTTGTTTGGTAAGTGGACACCCCCGTGGCAGCAAATTGCTCATGTTTTGTCGACAAAAGGACCATCCACACGGTCACCAATGATGGAGGACCCTACTTCCATAGGATCTCTTGAATGGTCCAAATACCTTACTTAACCTCATGTTGGGTCAAAGCAGCTAGCAAAAGAAGACGTGACCTCTTCATCATTCACAAAGTCGCTGAATGATGAGCACGAACACGACTTTTGGGTCAAGCTTTTTGATCAAGATTCTGTTGATGTCTTTGGAACAAAAACAAACACTTTGGACATTTGCTGTGAGAAAGCCATCACCAGCCAAAAACATCTCACGTGACACCACCGAACACATCCAGAAACCCGCAGAAGCCAGTCACCGGGGCTTTCTTCAGAGCCAAGCACAAGCGCTGAAGCCCCGCGCGTGCGAGGGCGCGGAAGTTCCGCTGCACCTGTTCCTGGTGCTCTGCAGCTTCAATCTCCTGGTGCTCTGCAGCTTTGGAAGACGAGTCTTCTGAGTCAACACTGTTTTTGGAAGACGAGTCCTCTGAGTCATATTAATATAAGTAGGAGAACGTGTCGACATCATAACACAATGGAGTGTCTTCTGGATGGAAGAGAAGAAAAGTGGAGTAATTAAAGACCTACATGGATTAAGAATATGTGGAGAGAACGGTCATCCAACCATCATCTAAGACTCCATGAGTCAACTGTCTTACAACATTTTTTGGAGTATGCATTCATTCTCGTCTATATACGTGCTTTGAGCTAGCCTATGTATACACTCTCTCAAGAAAGAACTCAAGATGCAGAAAGGAAACAAGATATCATGTATCCACTATTATCGACTATTGGTGTCTGAGAGTCTCTAGACTCTATACCTGATGTTTCCTTCTGCAGAAAAACACAGCATGACGCACCAAAAGGCCAGCCTCGATGATCATCGGCAAGGGCAGCACTGGAGCATCTTCAATGGCTCGCACCGAACGATCCGCACGTGCGCGAGCCACCTGCGCGCGTGCCGTCGCAGGGCCCGGTGCAGTTGGGCCCAATCTTTGTGCGCAACGAACTGACGAATCAGGGTGCCGGTCAAATCACTGGGACTCATCCACGAAAGTGAAAAGGATGAATGCCCGGAATCATGTCAAGCCTATCGAATCGTCTGTCTACACCTTCAGCTTCCCCCCATGATCCACCTCAGCCTTGCGCTCCTGCTTGAGGCTTTCGCAGAAAGCCACCTGATGTGCAGCTTTCTGTGTGACGGGCAGGCTTCATCAGGGATCAAGGCCGTTTGTCTTTGGAAGATTGGCCTCTGGGATTGCCTCTGGGCACTAGCAAAGAGACCGGGATGGCCATGGCATGGCTGTCTCCGACCCTTCCGCAAGCCTCCGAGCCAGATGCCAGGGCCAGGTACTCCTGCTCCAGTCTCCTGGTGTGCGGCGGTGAGTAATCAGTTGCATCACAATGACGAGATTGATGACCCTCAAACGCTCAGACGGACCTTCAAACTGTTCCAAAACAAGGGATGGTCCAAAACCCTGAGGGTCAGAGGATGTCAAAGCCCTAGCTATGAGAGGCCAGCAACCAAAGTCAGCATAACCAAAATAGATCAATATGGTATAGTATAGCCTGAAAACAAACAAGTTTTATCTAAAATTTAAAATGCCGTACGTGCGCTGGGTCCTGCTGTTGGCCCGCGCGCTCGCGCGGTCTTTGCAGCTCTCCCACCAAGGCACCTGATTTTCACGAGGAATTCTATGCGACCCAGGTTGAGGAAAGGTTACGCTCGTGAAAACTAACGTTGTCCCCAAAAAAAGCGATAAAAAAGAAATGGTCTGTGTTAGCGACACCTGCGGGAGACGTACATGCAGTCTATGTTAGTCTATGTTGGTACCGATTTTTCTTCCAGTAAAAGAGCCTCTGGCATGGTCCATGTTAAGCCAAATCATTGGCTGTTGGGCCCAACATCCACTCTGAAAATAGTTCCATGTTAGGGAAGTGCCTGTCTCCGGCCTGTGCCATGTTAGGAAGCGGTGTCTCTATTGATGTAATTACACTGACAACACATGAAACCTGTTGTTTTTTGTTTCCCCACTGCTTCCAAAAAGTGTTGACTCATGCAGTGTACTCTCCCATCAACTCTGTCACTCACGCAGGTTGCAAGATTCGTACATCTAGATTTGAGAAGCAAAGGGAAAAGCTCTTCGAGTGCTCAAGATGAAATCATTCCATGTTAGGGAGCAGGGGTCGTTCGTGGTGGTATGAAATCATTCCATGTTAGGGAGCAGGGGTCGTTCGTGGTGGTCTATGTTAGGGCATCATTTTAATAAGCCAGGGATCTTAGAGGTGGCGTGACCTGGTCTATGTTAGCCCCAGACCTTTTTACCGGTTGAATCAAGTGGCAGGGTCATTCCCCAGCAAATTCACGGTTAAGGCATTCCATGTTAAACATCCGTGAAATCAGCCGTTTTCACCTATGTTTGTCTTCGGGAGCGTAATACCCTCCATGAAAAGAATCCTACACACGTTCACCCATGTTCATCAATAATGTAGTAGAGTGTTCTTTTAGGGGTCATGCGCCATGCCATCCACTTCCGTGTTGAGAGGGTCTCTCTTTCTAGGAGAGTCTTAGACTTTATTTTGAGCGGCATGGGGAAGCTCGAGAGTCCAAGCTCGAATTTTGTGGGTGCCCAAAGAATGGGGGTGCCCAAAGAATGGGCAGGTTGAACAAACAGAGTTTGTTTCCCAAGAAAATGATCCTTCGTGATCAATCGAAAGGAACATCTTAATCTTTTGCACTGGAGGAGGGGTTCCAAGAGCCAATTAAATTTCAGGCGAGAGTAGCCTCGTGGCTATGACCAATTCCACCACCTACACCTCCACCAGTAATCACCCCAGTCACATTGAGTTCCGCCATCGCCCACGAGTTCCTCTCACGGCCGAAAACCGCCCGACCCATCCGACCCATTTGACGGCCGGTCCCGACGGTACCTGATCGGGCATTCGGCCGCAGGAGGGCAAGGCCTTCTTCGCCGCCCCAAAGGCCGCCATGAGGCGAGCCTGGTGGCAGATGGGGCGGGTTCGGAGAGAGAGGGTCCCCAAAGAACAAGGTCCGGGGGGTTCGAAGCTGACGATGAAAGAGGACCCAATCGAAAAATCAATAAAAGGATGAAAAAGGATGTTTGTCATGATCTTTGAGATCGCTGGGGTCTGGAAATGGTGTGCCTGTTCGGCATGTTCAGGTGTTTGCACTGAGAAGCAAAGCGGTTCACGTCACATGGGCCAAGCAAGCTTGCTTGGGCATTGAGGATTTGCCCAAGGAAACAAAGGTCAGGAGTCCCGGGACGGGGCATTGCAAAGGCCACCCGCTCGAAGGTGAGAGAAACTCTCTACTTCATCCAGTCAGAAGGGATCTTATATAACTTGGGTATAGAATTATAACTTGGGTATCTCCTATTCCGATTCCCTGTAACAGTGGATGATGATATATAGTTTGTACATGCTTTGTTTGAAACAATGATAATTGTTTGCCGACTGTTACAGGTAATAGGACACCCCCAAGGTATAACTATTGTAGCGATGTCACAAGTCGGAGTCAGACCCGGTGACTCCGGTTTGATGCAAACAGGTATAGGGTGACTCAAGAAGAAGAAGGAGGAGAAGAAGAAGAAGAAGAGCTGCTTAGCCACGAGTGCAGCGTCTTCCCAAATGACACCACGAGTTTAGTACACTATACATTGAGTTCAGGCTCCATTAGTCATGGTGGTGCTATAGGCCTGTTATAGGATGTTATAGGTGCATAAGTGTACAAACACCCTTGAACATAACTTGGAACAATTTCGGAGACTCACTTTTTGACCAAACTCGCCAGGGCACCCAGAGTCTCACTGCATCATCATCCGAGTCCCACCAAGTCCCAGCAGGAATTCAGCTTCGATTCTTGTCACGGTCGATGGCATCCGAGCTTTCAGCTCGGAGCCCCTTGATTACCCAAAGCATCCATTGGGACTGGAATAGTATATAGTATATATTATAGTTAAACTTAAATGGAAGGAATGGTTGAAAATGGGCACATGTACTTTTTGTCGAGTCTTCTAATTCTAGTCCCATGGATGGTAAATGGGGTAATACGTACTTATATAATGTAATATATGATTGTAGATATAAAAAAAACATAAAGGAGCATGGGAGGGGCGACCGCTTGGAACCCTTTCAGACCCAATTGGTACCCATCACCCACGCCACCAAACCGCCACGCCACGCCATGCCACGCTCTCTTCGTCTCGCCTGTGCTGCGAGATCTTCGTCTCGAAGCTCGACCTCGGTCGTTTCGCACCCGGCCACCGACCGAGGAGATCCAAGGAGCCTCCAAGAGGGCCTTGTTCTGCCTTGCCTTGTACCTCGTACTCCTGGCCGTACTCCTGGCCCTCCGGCCCTTCTTCCGTATTGGCTCTTCATTCTTATGATCGAACTCTGAGGTTCAAGGAACGTTATACTGAGCAAACCGGAGCTAACATTGTCTGCGAATCGCCCAACTGAAACCAACTCGCCACACCTTCCGTTGCCGCTGCTTTTGCAACTCCTGGGACAATCCCGACCAAAGGACCGCTCAGGAGGTGGAGAGAGGTCCAGGTGGGGTCCGAGATGCAAGAACAACGCCTTGCAAATCAAGATCTCCCAATCCCCTCGCAATATTATATATATAGAAATAGGAAAATGATGGAAAAGTGAGGAAACAAAAAGAATCAAACAAAAACACTTGCAGGGATTCGTGTGTATATAATATACTGTATATGGCCATCTTCCGACGTGAACTTCAATGGAACATCAGATTTGGGTCAAGAGTCCTGGCATCTGTACACAGCTGGAGCCTGGCGTTTGACAAACAATTGTGGACACTGCCTAAACCTTTGGTTGTTTGCCTCTTTGCCATTGTCTTGGACCCCTTGCCACCCCAGGGGACCAACACAATCGGCACACGTATCTGACCCGTGTTAGATCGGTTCCGACCGTTTGGTGATAGATCGCCGTGGAGATAACACAGTCACAACAGGTTTGGATGATGATCTAAAAGTTTTGAGACACGCACACACACAAAATCAATGGACAAAGCCGATCTATAGAATATACACAAAAACAAACATAGAGAAACAACAGTACACATATCAAATTACATCAAATTACTTTGGAAATTAGAAAACACATCCAGGCATGCTGCCGGCGTAGCTCGTGCATTACAAAACAATCCACAGCCATCGTCTGCCCCTCTTCTTCGACTCTCCTTGTGTGCTTGCGAATCCGGCACAACGTCCAGCTGTTCGGGCATCAAGAAGATGACCTAGCACGATCTACGCAACACGCACACACACACA